AGGATGTGGAATCTTAGTGGACTAATTCCACTGGATTAGTATATGACTGTATATCCACAGCACCTGTATCCAGAAAAGGATTGTCAATTTCCTCCTAAGGGATCTTTGCCATTATATCACCACTCTTCTTACTTGATGTAAAAGTCTTAAGTTCATATCTAATTTGAATCTTTCATTTCACATTCTGAGTTTCTGTAATGTAATMTTTCTCTTTAAGTTAAAAGAAACTGAGTAGGAGAAACATGTTTTTATAATTTTACAATTCTCTGCCCTGGATTAAGCTCCTAATTTATTCATTCACCCAATTATTACTAAAAGYTTACTAGGTCAATATAAAAATTAATGAGGGAGTCTCTACTCTCAAAGAAACATAGCCATASTCAATTAGAGTTAAAAGAACCTTAAAGCTCTTGAAAGTGTATCTATAAATTCTACCAAAATACATTTTTMTGTATCAATAAATATCTACTGCTGGATGGTATTTTTAAATAAATGGATGCACCTAATATTCTTAACCTAATTTCTTACTAATGGACAATTAATGGCTTATAATTTTTCACTAACAATGCACTGTTTAACATTTTGTGAATAAATATGTGCACATTTTTTTAATTATTCCCCCAGAATTGCTTCATAAAAACAGAATTATTATGTCTAGGTAAATGTGCATTTGAAACACTTTTGATGTATTTTGGCAAATTTCCCTGAAGAAGGGCTTTCCTTTCCAACACTGATTATTCTCCCCTCTCTGTCCTGCTTCTGTCAATGGGGCAATAGATAATTGCTACCTCATTGTTTTTACGATTGTACTTATTTGCTTCCCAGTAAAACTCATTTTTTCTTACAATCCATTTTTTTCTCATCATTACCCATATTTTCTTCACTACTGTTCTATGGGACCATGTGTGTGTTTCACATGGATCATAAGAACTCTATATTAAAGAGTCGTTCCTTCACATAATATAAACGCAACATTTTCCCCACTTTGCAATTTGTCCTCTTACTTTTTTTATTGTGTYTTGTGTTATACAGATGGTCTTTTCTTTATTAAATATTTATATATTTTTGCCTAAAATACCTACAAAATTAAGAAATACTAATGTATACATTTTGTTTACTTTTTCATGGTTTATACGTAAGACTTTGGTTCTGCAAACACTTACTTTAGGGAATACTGTGGAATAAATATTTAGTTTGTTTTTCAAATATTAATTTAATTTTCTAGTTAGCAAGATATTTTGACTAACTCTCCTCTCTCACTGAAAATGCAATCATTTAATGGTTCTTCAATGTTCTCATCTTAAAAGTTCATRGCTAATGTCATCTACCAGATTGCAGCAAAAACAGAAATTGACTGTGAGTTCAAATCTTTGATGGTACAGTGACCAAGAGCATGGTGCTGGGCCAGTGAGTACCACCACTGAGTGGCACAAAACTGAGTTTGAGAACAGCTATGTTACCTTGAATAAATCAGTCCATCTGCACCTATCCTAATCCTTAGAATGGTGGAGAACAATTCTACCAAACTCATTCTGTGTTGTGAGAATGAGAGTGATTATTCAGTTATCTATTCAGCAGCATTTATTAAAAGCATAGCATGGAACAGACATGTTTTAATGTGCCATGACTATAGCTACCTTGAAAAYAGATCACTTCTGGAAACAAATAATTCTGACTTCAGGGTTAGCTTAGCATTGACATCAAATACTGTTCTCTAGTCCTGCTTCCAATATTTAAATCTGCCCTATGCTTACTCCCATTAGATTGGTGGAAAAGACACCTGGTATCTTTTTGTTGTGCTTTTTTTTTTTTGACTCATCTAAGTGTGAAGAAATTGCATAGTGCCCACTGTATATTCAGCCTCTGGTATAGTACCTGATACAYCCAGAAGTGAATAGAGTTGGTAAAAGAGTGAGCAAATTAGCAACAAATTCYAGCTCAAGCAATTTTCTTAAAAATAGAGAAAAAAATTATCTTTAAAGAAAATCTTCTTTCCTTAGTGAAACTAAGAGAATTTATAATCTGTAAGATAGATGAACTAGAGATATGTAGTAGAGAGAAAAAAAATCATTCCCCTGCCTCAGGGAAAAAAGCCAGTATATTTGTGACAAGAAGCTGGAATCCTCTCCAATTCATCCAGCCACTCTGATTCATTACCAGACTCTTGCCCTCAGTGTATTCTATCTCTGAGTGCTTCCAGTTGCTTAATATGCAAAATTGGCCCGTAATCAGCCATCCCAAATGACAAGGAAGTAAAGAAGAGCATCTCMTAATGCACTTTACAAGTACTAACATGATTGATCGTCTTTGTTCACAACTTAACTATTGATTTGTTGGTGCTTGGAGTCTGTGCATCAMGTGATCTTGATCACATACATTGGGTCGAGGCTTCTGGGTCGGCTGTCTTGCCTCCCCTGCCCACACATTGCCTAACCTCCAGCACCTGTTTCCTCTTCTGTACAAACARGGGCAAAAACAGTGCCTGCTGCATGAGACTGTTGTAAAAATTAAACTAGTTGCTATTTGTGAAGTGCTCAAAACAGTACCTGGTGCCAAAGCAAGTACTCAGTAGATATTACCAAATGAATCCACACGCTTCACCACTCCCTCCACAGAGGCTTCACGTTATAACCAGGTTTCATTCCTTTCACATAGTTCACAGAACCACACGTCCRGCATGTACCAAAGATTTAAAGTTACACTTATTTTTTTTTTTAATAACACAACTGTCTATCTTTTCCCCACAAGACTATAAGCCTCCATGGGCAAAAACATGAATTTTTGGCATCTTTTTTGTGTTGCAATTATGTGCAGAAAAGATTATTCAAAAATCACTGTTTTTTGTTTAATCTATTAGTATAATAAATTCCCAAACTAGTTTTTCTCTTATGAGTCTTTAGCTAGGTTTGGTATAATTTCTAAGTTTAGTTAATTAAATTTCTTTAAGAAAACAATCATTGTATCAAATTATCATCAACCTGGCCTTTTCAGCACACTAACATTTCTGCATAGATGTCAAGACCCATTGTGACTGGATCCTTTACCGCAGCCATAATTGCCAGGTTCTTAATGGGATCTTGAATTCTTTCCAGATGCTTCTTACACRAGGTCGCAATCCATTAGGAGTGTTACATTTATTATGAACATCTCTGCCTCTGGTATTAAAGTGGCATCTGGTTGAAGGCAGTCTTGCTCTCCTGGCATCCTCTGACTTCCAGACAGGAGATTGAATCCTCTCTGCCTGCACATTTGTGTTCACCATGGCAACCCCAGAAGCTAGACCCATTGCCTGGTTCACGAATGAATAGCYTAGGAAGATATTTAAAAAGTTATTCATGAATCCTGTCCAGATACCAACTCACAACGCTTAGAAAAGAAAASTAAATCCCTTAAAGCTCAAATTTATGTAGTTATCTTGGAAAAAAACAAGGTATTTTTAATTGCCTAGATTCCTCATAGCTCTGTGTTAAGCTCTAGCTTAACAAGAGGTATAAAACCATGACTAATATATTCACATTCCACTCCAGTCCCTATTAAAAAAAAAAGGAATCCCTAGTTTATTCATCTTGCCTAATGACACAGAAGGGCAAAACAAGTACCCAAACAATGAATAATAATGCAAGAGCTCTGGCAGTGAAATCAATACGTCACTACAGTGGAGCTTTGCTTGGTCTTAATGTGCTCATCCCTGRATGCAGTGGAGCTTCCATTCTGAATTATATGTATGTATTGACCTAGTTATATAAATATTGGCTTTTCCTTATATGAAGCTTTTTTTAAACCTCACTGTAATTATGATGCTAATATTTGTGGCTGTAGTAACACTGAATTTAAATCTGTTAATTGGGACAGATAGTAGATAATTCAGAATCACACTGGTGACACTGAATGTGACTGAATCTTGGTCTATGACTATACCTGACTTTTTTTTTTTTAATCCAACACTTGATCCTTAACCTCAGTCTCCAATTTACCTATTGATGACTTTCTTGATCTATTGACAGATGTCTATGCCCCCATCTCCACATCTATGTGCACAAAAGGGATAAATTCACCATTTTTTCTTATTTTTCTTTAATATATTTCCAATAAAGATTCTATGCCTGATCCCCCTTGTGTGTGAAATCTAAAGCAGTCAAACTCATAAAAGTAGAGTATAGAAAGGTGATTGYCAGGGGCTTTGAGTAGAGAGGAATGGGGAGATGCTGGTCAAAAGGAATGAAGTTTCCGTTAGGAAGAAAAAGTTTTTGAAACTATTGCACAGACTGGGAACTATAGCTAATAATAAGGTATATTTCAAAACTGCTACAAAAGTAAATTTCAAATGTTTTCATTGTAAAACAGGAACATGGCTATATTAATTAGTTGGATTTAATTATTCCACATTGTATTGATAAATCATAGCATCACTTTGTATTCCACAAATATATACAGTTGTAACTTGTTAATGAAAAATTAAAATAAATTTACAAAAGATCCTATGGGCAATTATTCTACTAGGGTCTAGTAGACCCTATTTATTCTAATACAAATATGGTCAGTAAAACTTCTACTTTTTAAAAAATCCTATCCAAATATTTTCTCTTACTTGGTTTTATTTTCATGAGAAAATTTTTCAGTTACTTACAGGTAGTACATCTCTGGGACAAGCAATAACACTATACCTCAGGATATTTATTATTATTGTTACCACTACTACTACTACTACTACTACTGTTTTGCTTTCTTTTTTTCTTTACAAAAAAATTAAGTGATAATAAGAAAAATGCCCCAAAAGCTTTAAAATGCAAGAGAGTATTTTGGTTTGCTCTCATGACATTTCTGGAATTGCCACCCAGTGCAGTAGGTCCGGATCAGCCCACCACATTCTCTTTCGGAGTTAGGCCAGCACAGAGTGCCAGTAAAAGCTATGGTGCCCACACTCTGGGTTTAAGAGCTGCTCCAGACTCTCACAGCGAGGAGTTATGCATCACCCTTTGCTTTCTTCTTTGCCCCTGCAGGGATGCCGGATGGCATGAACTTCACGGATGTAAAGCAAATCCATCACACCGGCCGCAGCAGTACTCTGGACGCCACTGGAGCAGGATGTGTGGCAGGGACACAGCCTATGACATTCATTCTGATGGGTGTACTGATGCTACTTCTGGGGCTGTGGTAACAGAACTCTTCTGCCTTGATGTCTCTTACTGGGGTCTTGATTTCTCCCTTCTCTTCATAAACCTGGAATAGAAGATGTTTTTAATGTAACCGTTATATTTATGAGAAGGGATGTCGCACTCACTTCATGGAAGCCAAGTTGGGATATTAACAATTACCTAAACATGGATGTTTAGACAATAGACTCTTTAAAATGCATCTTCCTTGAATCTAATGTAAACCTTCTTAAATTCTGAAATGTTAAATCTGAAAATGTGACAAGCACAGAAGTGACATTGAATAAGAAGGATTTAGTGTATCTCTGATTTTATTCTTCTGGATTCTAAACCCCTTCCTTTCTAAATTAAAAAAAAAAGCATTTTCATTTGAAGGTGTATTTGCCAGACAAAACAATACCACAATGTGTTTCTTAAAGCTCTGGAATTAGAATTACATTAAGTCAATCAAAACACACAATGGCTAGTATTATGCATGCACTGTCAAGAGATTCTTTCATTTTTGCAAGCTAAAGAAGGAAATTACTAAAAGTCTTTAAGTTATGGAGTAGATGACTAAGGATAGTTTACATAAGTTCACTGACAAAGCTTGATAAGTCTTATCCACTGTAATTTAGCCACTGACAAATCTTAAAGCTGAGTATTTTCATAGCACCTGACTTGTATCCCATTAAATTTAAAATGCATCTTTGATGTTGTGGCCCTGTCCCCTCCTCTCTCATAGCCTAGTGGATTTAGATATGTTGCAAAGTACACTCTTGCTCTAGGACTATCTGCAATAAAGCTACTAATTATTTGATGAAAAAATTAGAGAATATTGGTCACTTTCTTCCAGCAAAAATGATATAGCCTCTCATTTTTTCAAAATATTTTTTGCTACTTCTTTTTAAGGGCTGATGTTGGACCATCAGTTGGTATCTATGCATTCCCAAGCGTCTGATGAATACAGACAGGTAATGGGACAGAAGATGTGGCATGTGGTGCTTTAGCTCTTCTCTTAAGTGCAGATTAGCTGAGCAGCTAATCCACCATCCTTAATTTCCCAGTTGTGATAAATTGCCTCAGCGGACATTGATGGGACACATCGAAATCAGTACCTTGGGAAGAAGAGATAAGTCAGCTTTTATTAAGAAGTTTCACATCCAAATTCATAGCCAGAAAATATAATTATTATGCAGTCACAGAATAGAAAAGAGACATGCTGAACTTTTAAAGTTAAAAAGAAAAATCAACTTGAAATGACATCTGACAAAGAGATGAAGAGGACTCCCTGGGCAGCACACACTGGTGAAGGAAAGTCAATTTCTCCAAATAGGAAACAACAAGTGATGGGACCTTATCTCTCAGGTTCTCAATCAACCAAGTGACCTGAGGGTGAATTTAAGTGGAGCTGCCCATTCAGGATTCTTTTTCTGTTCAAGCATGCCTCACACCGGGAACATTGTTCCACCTGCTGAATTCTGGGCTATTTTCCTAGGCGTCTGTTCCATCCCGTGACATCTATTCCTCGACCCACTTGGTATATAAAACATGTGCAGTCACCTCATCAACACCCTACAAACTTTAAACTTAACCCTATTTTTTGAAATCTTTACTTCAACGTCAGCTCTTTCCTTAAACCAGTCTTGGGAAAGAGTAGTACTAAGTCACTCATTTGCCACATTCCAGTCCCATTCAGGGTTGGTTGGTTTGCCATAGCAAAATTTCTGACCCCAAAATTAAGAGAATATAATTTAAAGACAAAAGCAAAAGAGCATCATTTAGCAGTCTAAGATACATCTAGATAAAATTAGTTGGTTGAAGATAATTTTAGATATGGCCAGGAAAGGATAAATGCAGGGAATTAATGAGTATTTTTTATCAACCAAATGTGACATACTCAAATGAATGTTGTCTACCAGCTATGCACTCTGGAGACTAAACATGTTAGGAAAATGCTGCAAGAGCTCTAAGTTCTGGGAGGTTTTCATAATTTCTTTTAAGAGCCTGAGGCATAAATTTTAATTTATATATATATATATATATATATATATATATATATTTGCAGATGTCTCACTAAGGTGCCCAAGTTGACTTCAAATGATCCTTCCACCTCAGCTTCAAAGTAGCTGGGATCCTCATTATACCCAACTTTAACATTTACATTCATAATGAAGATATTCATCATCCTTCAATACTCTATTCCATGACATTTTGCATTTATATAGCTATTCGTAATTCACCAAGTCTTCCAAATAAGATGAAGAATCCCATTTGACTTTTCTCACCCCTCAAAAAAGAGGTAAATTTTTATTTGAATAAAAACAATGACACTTTTGAAAAATATGACTCTGAATTTGCATCCAAAGTTCTCCATAAGTCCTAAGAAAGTTTTGAACAATGGTAAAACTGTTAGAATAATGTTCCATGATGACTTAACAGCATCTAAGTGAATGTATATATTTAAAGTATYACTCACATCTTTATAATCAAATTTTATACTGGAGTAATTTAAACAAATTCATTTTCTTGAATTTAGAGTTACTTTTATATATGTTTAAGTAACGCTAAAACTTAGTCCCAGAGATTGGGGATGTAGCATGGTGGTAGAGCACACGTGTAACATGAGTGAGGCCCTCGATTCAATCCACAGCACCAAAAAACACAAAACAAAAATCTCTTAGTCCAGTGTTTTGCACATATTGGGGACAAATCAGTTAAGAAATCAGAGCTAACATTAAAATTTATTAACTTGGTCCTTCCTTTTTATAGACACCATGATAAATGCCTTGATAGATAATCTCATTTAATCTTCCAAATTGCATGTCCCCTCCATTTACCAGTGAGGGAATGGAGGTTAAGGACTATGGATTTTTTCTGGTATCATAYAAGTTATCATAGTAGAATCAGATTGATGTGCATAATGCTTGTAAATAATCTATTTATACTACTGGCTCAAAGACATGATAGTTTGTGAACAAGAGAGAAGAACCATAGGTTAGCATAAAAATSATTTCAGTTCATTTGTCTCCAACTGTGGTTTAAAAACAAATTGATTGTATAATTACGATTGCATAATTATTCAAATTGCATGTTACTGTAAAAACGTAAAGAAAGGGAAAATGGAAACACTGACTTATTTTTAGTACCAATTGTTATTCTCCTACATACTCAAACCCCCTTCGAACAAATAAGCCCCCAACATAAATTGGCTACCAAAAATGAGGAAGAAAATACAACTTTTATAACCATGATGGGATCAGGAAATTTCTTTTTGTCTTCTATACACCAAGGGTACAAAACATTTCTTCACAAATCTGACACAGTGGATAGCGTAAAAACTAAGAAGGAAGACAAGAAGRAAGGAAAAGGGTGTGGCGGGCTACCCCAGTTTTGCCCTTTTTAATCCTATATTATTCAAGAGCATTCTATGATGAAATAATGTCTGCAGTGTTTTCTTCTCACTAAAACATAGAAGTTAATAAGCTATTTTTCCAAACACTGGTATTTTACAAAGTACTTAATAATAATGATCTTTTGAAAAGGACTCATTTTATTCCTAATTACTTTCAGTCACTTAAAATATTGTTTCTATCACCAAAACACTCAAAGTACCATGAGAAATGTTTCTCCTTTAGTGAATGAATTCAACCTAGTCTTCTGTTATTCTGTGAGAAATTCACGAAGCAGGCTGTGAGGTCAGTATTTCTGTAAACTGCCAGCTTGGAAGTCAAATACAATGACATGGGTTGAATGAAAATTCAATAATAATAATAATTCTCAATGTTGCTAGGTATGAATTTGTCTCATCAAGTTTTTCTTTGAACGTAGATTGTTGTATTATAAGTCAAGTCTGATTAAAATGTAGATGAAACCTAATTCTCCGATTGAAAGTCTGCTTTCTTTGACTTTACAAAGTTTACACAGTGACTGAATCGCTATGATGTGACTATTTTTATAAATGGAGATCTAATCAAATGTAGTTTTTCAAACTCCTTTCAATTTCCACATGCAGGAATAGGAATAATTCATCACAATCTAATTAATACCTTCATAGTACCAACAACAAGAACTTATGTGGCAGAGGGTGGGGTGGGGGKTGAAGGTCTGTGGATAAATCTGCACGCATCTGACTTCCCAATTTGCACACTGGAACCATCTTCACCAAGAAGTAAGTGAGGAGATCTCACAGCTGTAAAGTTTTGCTCTTACTCTATCAAAAAGCAGTGTGAAGGAAAAAGGAATGCAGCATTCAAAACAGAACAATGGCTGTATAGGAATCAAAAGTGGTTAGAGAGAGAAGGAAGATGATGAGCACACGAGGATCAAYGACTGTGGTAATTTGGTAAGTGAACACCTACTTTCATAAATTTATTTTTCTTTTATTTGGTTGGTTCTTTTTAATTTATATGTGAGAGTAGAACTCATTTTGATAGAATCATACAAGCATGGAATACATCTTATTCTAATTAGGACCCCATTTTCATGAAGCTTCCTTAAATTTTGATTCCCACCTTTGAAAAACAATAGGCTAGAAGGAATGAGGGTCTGATTTTCCCCAGCTAAGGTCGCCAGCATGGGAAGAAGGCCCAAAGGTCAGTTTCAGACAAATGGTATGAGCAGTGGTGTTTTCAAAAGAGACCCTGACTCCAGAGCTGTGGTTGGAATTCCACATCCAAAGAATGGGATGTGCTCTCCTATTCCACATGCTCACTCCTCTGTTACCCCAGCCATATTTTGCAATCACCCACATACCTTGGTTTGCTGTAGTTGCATTTTCTTTCTGTTCTCCTATCTGTACAAACTGAAATAACTGTATCTAACTGGCAGAGTTACTCAGAGGACCAGATAATGGGCCACCTGTTAGGAACCTACCAGGCCCATGAAGAGCCTTAGTTATTCATGTTTGTTTCTTCCCCATGTGTTCCCAGGATGGGAACCAGAAATGTTAGTTACAGATTTTACCTATTAATAAATTTCTGATATGGAAAGAAAGCATCAAGAAGAAAATTCAAAAACAGGGTTTCTGGAGGGGAGACAGAAAAAAGCTTTGGGATAAAGAAGGGGTAGAGAAGACGCAGGCCTGTCTGTCTTATGTTTTGTGTTTGCTTATCCTCATTCTGGCTACAAGACTTATTTACTGGAATTTTATTTTCAAAAGAT